AGATCGTGATCAACAGCTGGATCTTTGCCATGTCCCTGGTAGATCTCCAGCTTAATTCAACAATTTGTGATACTAGATGTGCATTGAAAGTGAGTGCTTACTTTGATTTAACTTATCTGCGTGAGGCGGCCTTTTCACAAATGAAAATCATCAAATCCAAGCACAGAAACAGTCTGACTGATAGACACAGATTGTCTCAGTTTAGCTGTCTGCAACTATAAACCAAACTTCAAAACATTATCCATTTCAGACTCAGCCATCACCCTGAATTTCATAATAATAGAACTTCTCTCATTAACCCTTCGATATACTGTTAATGCTGTTTAGTGGTCAAATTTGCACTATTTTGGTTGCTTTCACTGCATTTGGTTTGCATTTTGTTTGTATTGCAGTTGCACTTTTTTTTTCTTGCAGAGAGTGTTTTAGTCCCCATTCTGTAATGAGTGTTCCTTTAGTAAGAATGCAAATATAAAGCTGTCTAGAACTATGAACATGATCACGTTTGTTGTTATTTACGTTCATGTTGGTAGATCTTGCTCTTTCCTCAGACCAAACATGTAGATCTTTGTCTGAAAAAGGTTGGTGACCACTGATTTAAACGTTTATTCTCCTTAAAAATAATGTGGTTGCTTCAGTTCATGCTCATTGTATCGCCCTTCTGACGCGATCCGGACGATCCGGCTCCACCAGTCGTGTCTTCAGACTTTCATCCACGTCTCTTTGGATTTGTGAGCAGGATGTGGGAGTGGGCTGAGGTAGAGCAGCCTCACACTCACTTTATCTTCTTCCTCCTTCTCCGACACTCTTCTCTTCTCCTCCTCAGCTGACAGACGTAAAGTGTGATGAGACAATTCTCCAGCTGCTGCACAGTTATCATCGGAACCACTGCGGGAAAAGTTTGGATCGTGTTTGTGTCCGTGGCAAAACCGAGATGACAGAAAAGCCGGTAGCAGCTGAAATGTGTGTTTTTTTCCCAAAGACGTAAATCTGTCCAATCAGAACCCTTCCCCACCTCCAGACGTTGAGCAGAATTAAATAAAGATGATTTCTGTGTAAACCTCAATTTAGATTTATTATTTCCATGTAATCTCGAGGGAAAATATTTTAATTCCAAACTATTTAATTCAGAGCAATGAATTTGGAATTAAAAAAACAAAAACAAAAAAACATCATGTAAACGTGGTCACTGACTGTAAACCAGGTCAACACATCTGGACAGTTAAGTTAATTCTACCATAGAATCCTGACCCATCTAACCCGGTTTAAAGGTTCTATATGACACAAAATTGTCTCTCGTGAGATTTAAGCCACGTTAGAATGTTGTTACCTCATCACAAACAGACCTGGAGTTGAGTTTTGTTTCATTCACACATGTATGAGTAACCTTTTATTATTAGTCTGTCTACATCTCCAAAGTTCTGAATGTTCTGTTCCACTTTGTGATGTAGTAAACAGCTCCTTTTACCTTTAGTTCAGTAGAGAGTGGCAATTCCAGAGCTGAAATTATCCTAATAACTCTAGAGTTTGTGTGTTAAACCAGTGTGAATGAAACGAAACACAACTCCAGGTCTGTTTGTGATGAAGAAACTACATTAGAACAGATCAGAAACAGCATACCATGGGCTCTTTAAGTTGTGACCAATTCATTTCACAACAGTTATGAGAACGTGGTGTTGCTCCATCTGTTTGTATTGGATTCATTAGGACCGTGTCTGAAAGGCAGGGCGGAGATTCTTCCATGAGCACAACACGACTCACTAAAAACACACCAAGCCCACGCAAGTTCAGGTTGTGATAACAAATACCATCAATATTTATTATGTAGCCCATAAAAGAAAGGAACTTAATCTGTGGTGTTGTCACGATACAAACATTTCAGACTTGATTTCAGTACTAAGGAATAAACTCCATAATCAATACTGTTTCTGATACTACGATGATTATAAAAACAGCAAAAACACTCTCTGCTAAAGCTCATTCTAGAACTATTCAGGACAGGTTCATTTCTGTCCTGGGAGTGTGACTCTTTTAGTATCGATACCTGATCTGTTTTTTGATACTTTTGAGCACCCCGCTTGTAGAGATGCTTTTTTTTCTTCTTTTAGGAATGTTTCACAGTATGAAACAAAAAACAGATGACAATGTGGTGTCAATAAAATTAAAACTGCACAGTGCAGATCTGTTTTTTTTTCTGTTGCACAATTTTGTTTTGCAACTTTTATTGGAGGTGCATGTCTCTATGTACCAGTAATGTTCCGCAGTATGATATTACGTACACTCTATCATAGCCACGCTTACATGAGGTTTTTTCAATTCTGAATTAATTGTTCTGAATTAAAATATTCTCATTCGAGTTTACATGGAAATAATAATTCTGAATTGAGCTTTACATGGAAAATTTATTAAATGGTCTTTATTTAATTGGGATCAGCGTTTGAAGGTGGGGAAGGTTCTGATTGAACAGAGACACCAATGTATTTACATCAGAGGTGTTCACACTTTTTCAGCATGTGAGCTACTTACAAAATGACCAAGTCATAAAGATCTACCTAATACAAAGCCAAACAAACTGCACTGAAACACTCTGTGTCCCTTTTTTGGACCCTCACCCACAGTTTGAGAACCTCTTCTTTAATAGAACTTCCTCTGGAACTTTACACAAAACTGTGAAAAAAGTGAAGGAAGATTTTTAAACCTGTTTTTTAAAGTTCCAAACTGGAGTTGCATTCTTTTCTGGTTTTGCAGTGATATTTACCAGCCTCTGCACGTTTACCAAACCAAACGCACATCGTGACAAACACAGATGCATTTGTGCACTTTTGTTAGACAAACTTCAGCCAAATGTGGCAGTAGGTCTGTTCTGTAGATCCGCTCTATGCTGTAGACCTGCTTTGTGCCAACACTGGAACACAAATTTAGACTTGTTTTTGCTTCACGTTTGGTCTTGTTCTTCTAATCAGCCGCACTGTGGGAGGGGCTTGTGTTCGCTGTACGCAGGAAGGAGCGAGAGCGTGAAAAGGCGAGGGGCGGCGTGCTGACGTGAGGCAGATGGACAGGTAGGATGTTTAGGAAGTTGAACCTGCCCTGTGATGCACGCTGGTACACGAGGGCACACGCTGTTGCAGACGAGCCGTGCATAGGGAGCGTGTGTGTTTGTGATGTGCCGTAGAGTCTCCGCGGGTTTCAAATGAGTACACAGGCTGCACTGAGACGCCCCACACGCTCCTGCACCCGCTACAAGTTTATTACCAACAGCAGCGGCTGTAATGAAATATGATCACACTTGTTGAGTGTCAGACCTCGAGTGAGAGACAAGACCGAGTCCAAACGCGATCGAGTCCGAGACGAGACACGGCGATCTACCCACACAACCTTGGCGATCGACTGGTGGATCAAGATCGACGTATTGAGCACCACTGATCTACATCAACCGGAAGAAAACACACACTTCAGCTGCTACCAGCCTTTCTGTCATCTCGGTTTGTCGTTACTCGGACACAAACATGATCCAAACTTTTTCCGCAGTGGTTCTGATGATAATTGCGCAGCAGCTGGAGAATTTTCTCATCACGGTTTACGTCTGTCAGCTGAGGAGGAGAAGGGAAGAATGTTGGAGAAGGAGGAAGAAGACAAAGTGAGTGTGAGGCTGCTCTACCTCAGCCCACTCCCACATCCCGCTCACAAATCCAGAGACGTGGAGGAAAGTCCGAAGACAGGACTGGTGGAGCCGGATCAGAAGGGTGACACAACGAGCGTGAACTGAACCACCTACATTATTTTTAACAAGAATAAATGTTTACATGATCCAGGAAGAAATTAATTCAGTTTTCAAATCAGCACCAACATTAGTTTTGTGCAGAATTAAAGCTCTCATGGTGTCACTAAAATTAAAATTTGGGAGCTCCAAGAACCTCTCCAGATCTGTTTTTTTTTCTAATGTTCCACAGTCAGTGTTGGGGAGTAACAAATTACATGTACCAGAGTTACAAAATCAGAGTACAAATTATGAGTAACTGTATTCAGTTACAGTTACTGTTTCAGTGAGTGGTAATTGGATTACAGTTACTTTGTTGAAGAAAATTAATTACACAGAGGTATTTTCCTGTTTTCACATTTTGGGCTAAATCCCTTAAATTTTTTAATTTTTTTTCCCCGGTAATTCCACTCATTGCCGGACACTAAACCAGATCTAAACCAGGACTAGACCAGGATTAAAACCAGGTCTAAACCGGGACTAAACCAGGACTAAACCAGGACTAAAACCAGGTCTAAACCAGGTCTAAACCAGGTCTACACTGGGAGTAAACCAGGTCTAAACCAGGTCTAAAACAGGTCTAGACTGGGTCTAAACTGGGACTAAACCAGGTCTAAACCAGGTCTAAACTAGGTCTAAACCAAGACTAAACCAGGTCTAAACCAAGACTAAAACAGGTCTAAACCAAGTCTAAACTAGGTCTAAACCAAGATTTAACAGGACTAAATCATGCTGCATGGACGTGTCTCCTCCTCTTCTATCAATAATATTTTTAATTTGGTTCAGTAAAGTCTGGACTTTTTTTTATTTTATTTTATCAGACAAAACTTCTTATGTGAAGATTTCCTCTTCTTTGCTCTTACTTTGCAAATCAAGTAATCCAAAGTATTCAGATTACATTACTCACTTTAACTAATTTAATTTATTACGGTACAAACTACATTTTGGGATATGTAATCTGTAATCTGTAGAGGAATACATTTTAAAAGTCACCTTCCCAACACTGTCCACAGTATGACATTACATAGACTTGATCAATATCTATTTAACATTTATTCAATTACAGGTAGGTGTCTTTTATTCCTCAAAAACATGCATTCTTTCTATTAGTGGGGTCGCCTATCCATAGATCTGACCTGACACTTTTGCTCGCACTGATTTCCCTTAATCTGCTGATGGTCCGTTAGCCTCAGAAGTCGTTGAGCTCTTAAATGTGTTGCTGTGGCAGTGAGGGGGAGGGGCTTACTTGATGACGTCCTTGTGTCCGTTGCGTGCGGCGAGGTGGAGGGGCGTGGTGGAGGGGGGCTCTGAACTGTCGCCGCCGCCGCCGTCTCCCTCCAGCAGCGCCGTCACCATGTTACTGCTCAGCAACAACTGCGCCACCTGCAGCACACGAGGGGGAAGAGCTTAGAATATAATGTTTATGAGTTTGTTTAAAGCGGGACTATTCTGGAAAATCACCTTCTCAGAGCTTTTAACCGTGTTGTAGTTGTTCCTTCTCATTTACACTCCATCTAACCCTGTTTTCTGTACTTACTTGGTTCTCCAGTTTTATTTTCTTAATCGGTGATACACGCAGGATTCAGCAGCGTCGCAGTCATTTCGGTACAAATGAAAAAGAAAGTCTGCTCCTCGCTAGTGTGATGTGCAGCTATCCTTGAAATTACCCAGTCTTTTGGTGACAGTAGCTCCGTTGGTAGAGCGTTTGTCCACCAATCTGAAGGTTGGTGCTTCAAATCCTGCTCCTGACATAAACATCACAGGTTGAGCGGTCAGATCCACTCACCTACAAGTTGGTGGTATGAGTCCAGCTCCCACACATTAATGCTGTTGTTGTGTCCTTGACAAAACACTTAATCCACCTCACCCCCAGTGTGTGTGTACACTGGTGTGTGAATGTGTGAGTGGTTCCTTGTTGTAAAGCGCTGTGAGTCTTGAAGGTGAAACAGTGCTGTATAAAAATATGACCATTTACCATTTAGTTGTGATGATGTTCACGGTGTTGCCAGCTCCCACTGGGCTCCACTGGGACTTGTTTGGAACATTGTGATTTAAAATGTCCAAACTATAACATAATGATCCACACTGAAAAAATGGTCTGAGAGGGGTTGCTCAAATTACAAAAACTAATTTGACAACAATAACATGACTTTTTTACATTTCTCTGTCCAGCATGTTTAAATCTTACAAAGGTCACTTGATTGTGGTCGATGTTAGATCTGCAGGTTTTAATCAGGTTGAGGAAACATGACTTTGTTATAATCTGTGGTGAGGCTCCTCCCTCTGGAATTCTCCTCCCCAAAACTTTTGGAGGGAAAATTCAAATGTAACAGGACACAGGACAGATCCAGGAGCAGAGACACACAGTGTGGAGCAGGAGGATTATCAGAGCTGATCTGGAGGTGAGACTTTTAAAAGATTTTATGTGCTTCTCTGGACTAGAATGTCGTCATTGTTAAAACATGTTTGTGGTGTTTTATTTGAAATTAGAGTTAATGTAAGAACTGTTTCCATGAGACAAATTATATTTGACTGTCCATCTACAAGAGTGTGACAGTTGTACTCAGATCTGATTGTGTTTGTTCCAGAGTCGTCTACAAACACAGAGTGACGTCCAGGTTCTGCTGGAGCTGTGGGGAAGTTCATGAATGTTACAGCTGATGTTTCAGAAAAAAGGAAGATGTTTGAGAACCAACAAACCACAGAGCACAGATGAACAAAGTAAGTAACTCAACTAAAATGATTTAAAAAGTTTTTTTCAAAATATACTTCCTATTGAAACAGTTATCGTGTTTCTACAGGGTGATGTGACACTAGGAGACTTTATACCAGATGCCCTTCCTGTTACTGCGTTTAGAGGAAGAAAAGCAGCACACGGTGAGTTTTGTTTCTGCAGATACACTTCTAATGTTCTTGTAATTCTGTTCTAGTCCATTATAGGTACTTTAAATGTATTTAAACATGTACAACAGAGTAGATCATCAGAATGTAATTGTGTTATTCATGTGTCCACAGAGACCAGAGCTTCTTCACTGGAATAAATCTTCACACTGTCCAGCTCCAAACTGTGTGTCTCTGTACTTGTGTGTCTCTGTGTGTTTGATTCTGTTTAAGACAAAACAGAACTGTGAAAAACTAAAGACTGTTTTTGTATTATTTTATAGAATTAGATCAATTAAATTAAATTATACATATTTATACATTTCACAATAAGGTAACATAAGATAAATATGTATATTCAGCATGATTTGATCAAATTTCATCAACATGAAAAAGTGACATTCATGTTCTGAGAAAAATATGTGTAGAGAGGATCAAAATAAGTTTCAAAGCCTAAACATCATTTTATTGCATGCAACCGCTTTCTATAACTTTTTTACGCAAATCCAGTGACCTTTTTTTTTCAGTGCACGAGTGGGGTCAGCACATTGGTCCAACAGTCCACTTGTGGTCATACCGGCTTGTCAAAGCCTGATCCCGTCAGATCTCAGAAGCTCAGCAGAGCCGGGCCTGGTCAGGACTTGGATGGGAGACACTGGGAAAATCAGGATCCACAGGAGGCGGCAGTCTTAAAAAAACTGTTGTTGTGTCCTTAGGCAAGACATTTCACCCACACTGCCTAGTATGAAAGTGGTGTGTGTGTGTGTGTGTGATGGTGGTGGTTGGAGGGGCCGATGGTGCAGATTGGCAGTCTCACTTCTGTCAGTCTGCCTCAGGACAGCTGTGGCTACAGCAGTAGTTTACCACCACTGAGTAAAGCGTAAAGCGCTTTGGGTATCTTGAAAGGTGCTATATAAATGCAGTGATAAATGAATTTAATTAATTAATTAATTAATCCGAAAATGGACCATTGAGTAAATATCCCATTAGTCCGAGAGAAAAAAGAGAACCATTGATCCGATCCCAATATTCCGACCATACACAGTAGAGATGTATGGATCACTTGGAACGTGCTGAGGATAAACCATTTGTAAATTCGGAGTGTTGGTGGAATTCTCATTCGTTTAGAGCCACAACGAGGCGAGAAGCCACAAACAGAACAAGAAAATCTACAGCATGTTATTAGTGGATTATAAATATATACATGCCACAACCACCGACACTACGCCTGGACTAAACCAGGACTAAACCAGGACTGGACCAGGACTAAACCAGAACTGGACCAGGACTGGACCAGAACTGGACCAGGACTGAACTGAATTATGTGTTTTATGAATCGTTTATTTTAACTGAGATTTAATAATATGAATTAATATTACATTTTTATTTTATTGTGATTTTAGCCAAGTGTGATGGATAAATTGAACTAATTGTTTATGGAACAAACTGTTCTGCACTGGAGCTCTGTAACACTTTATTCTGTAATTGTGTTTTATATGTGTTTACTGTACATAATGTGGATGAATAAAATATGAAATGTGGGACCAGCCTCTCAAATCTGCAAAAAAAATTTACCTGCAGGTATGAATAAAAACCTAACCTAAACAGGACTAAACCAGGACTAAACCAGGACTAATGGACTGTTGGACCAATGACATGAAACCCCACGGGTGTCATCGATTATAACCACACAGCAGACACAATCTGTCTTCTTTAAAGTACAATTTGTAGCAGAGAATCCTGATCTGTCCTCCAGCTCAGTTCTAAACCTTTAGTTATGCCTCAGCTGACTCTCGTTTCTTCCAGCCCAGTGAGGGTTTGGGACACTGCAGCGCTGAACACAGCCCACATCAGTGCCTGTTTGAGTAGGTAACGTGTGCACATGAGCCCTGCTGTGTGCCCAAGCTGTGTAATGTTCACTGTCATCTGCTGTCTGCGCCCGTACACTGGTGTCAAATGATACACCAGGCTCTGGTACTAATACACTACATATGCTTTTGAATTCTTTTGGCTCTGTGTTTGGTTGGAGCGTGTGGACTTACAGTATTTAGAATTGAATTATAACATGGATGATTATTTAGCATTTTCTGTCTCGAGACACAACAGAGAGCACGGTGACCAGACTGTATAAAACATATAGAGATATCAGGCTGGACTTGTTCAAGATTTGACCTTGGCAAGCGACATGTTTCTAAACCCAATAATATGCAGTCAGATAAAAATAAAAAAATAGGACATTTTATTTAGTCTTAACACAAAGAAACAAAAAAAAAAAAACTATTACAAAGGGCTATCAAATTCATTTCCTGAATTTAAACAATACAGACTTTTAATCAATTCAGTTTCACCCCAAAAATAAGACTCTAATTTCCTCCTCTAAAGTCTTCCATCTGCTCCAAACCACCTGCTTTTATAAACAGAGGATTTGTTGTAGACGTGTCCATTAAAAACACTCAAGCTGATCACTGACCCTTACACACAGGGGGTATTACACATGTGTGGGAGGGGAACTGTAACACAGGGGTCCTCAAACTGTAGCCATTTGAAGCAGCTCGCCAAGAGATTTCTGAATTACACGTGTTGTGCTGAATAAGTAAAATTTGATGACTTAAGTGCCTTTTACCATTGTACATGTGTCATTTTGATACCTGACTTTGTGCAGTATTAAATGGATCATGTTTATGTTTTGTAGGCATCTAAATGTACATCATCTAAAGCTCAATTTCTTGTGATCGCTAAAACTTGTAGCTCACCAGAAGAAAACGGTTGTAGACCCCTGCTGGAACACATAACATATTTACATCATGTTACGTTTTATTGTTTTGAAATTTTATATTCACCAAAAATGTATTAACATGTTTATGCATCCTCCCTTTGCTCCTTGCATTAAATCACTCCCCCTTCAGAGCACTATCACAGTACAATCAGTGTGCGACCACTAAAGAAACTAGTGCACATCACATCAGGTTTGTCAAGTTGTCATGTACAGTTTTGTGTCATATTTTTGTATATTTATGGAGAATTGTCGTGTGGGAGCCTGGGTGACCTGCATAAAATTGCACAGAATCTTACTGCTAAATGTAAGGAGGGTTTGAATAGAGATCACTAAATTACTCAAACATATATGGACAACATATAAAACCTCTTCAGGAACAACATTACAGCATGGTAGAAAGCTCCAAAACGTTGATTTTGAATAATACTTACAGTTTTCATTAATAACACAGATTTATTTTTGCTTTGGTTCAGGGCACAATGGGCCTCATTCATGAAACATTCTTATAAACAAATTTGTACTTACGGTCTTCTTACAAAGATTTTTGGCATTCACAAAACTTTTTCTTAACTGAAAATGTTCTGAATGTTCTACAAGGAGTCCAGAGCACTCATAAGAACAAAACATTGTACTGTTTTAGAGTATTATTACTCTGATAATGCAACTCAAAATTCAAATATCTCCATGATTGTAAGTTAAATATTTTCTTGAATTATTTCCTATAAAGATTAGTGCTGTCAGGCGATAAAAAAAATTTAGAGATTAATTAATTATGATCTGTAATTAAATAATCTAATTAATCTCTTTTTTAATCTCACCTAAACATTACATTATTTTCATACTATCATTAACGTTTTTACATAAGTATCATCATTATTACTATTACTAATCTGCATAAATAAACTCAACTTTACTACATATAAACATCACCACTACAGATCCACATCAGCCCGTTTGACATTAGAATGTGTCTCACAGAAACGAAACTTAAAACCGCATGGCTAAATTGCATAAACTAAGCGGAGAGAAAAAAAAAAAAAAAATGCTCTTGTGCACTGATGCGGTTCAGCTTTTGTTAGAGTAAAGGACACAACTCAGTAGAATATGAGTGTTCTTTCTGTGACAGAGGGATGTTGATGCTGAACGTGAGTCTGTTCTGTGTGTCGTGATGTTTTCAGATCAGACGTGTGCAGGTTTATCACAGATGCGGCGAGAACGGGAATGAAAATTAGGCTACAATTCTTTGCGGGAGCGAGTGGAGCAGGACTGCACAGTGCGACTGTGTCCTAACAACACATAAAAACAGATTTTATAATAAGGCAACTCACAAACAGAAACAGTAAAGTTAGAGATTAAAAATGAGATTAACGTGATTAAAAAACATAACTCGCTAAATATGACTGTAATTAATTAATGGCAATTAACGCAATAATTTGACACCCCTAATAAAGATATTACTGTGTGATCCAATAACATTTCTGAGGTGTTTTTCTCCAGGCTGCAGTGAGCCTCAGTCTGTCCCTGTCACAGTGTCTCCATATGGGCCTCTGACACAGCCCAGCGCCTGGTCACCGCGCTGGACTCAACAAACATGTAAATGAGTGTGGAGGTGTTTGGATCGGGATGTTGGTGAATTAGGCCCAACTGTTACTTAAGAACGAATTTCTCTGTGGAAGAATGTTTTGTGAATCTGGCGGAGTTCTCTCAGCATTTTCTTAAAGTGGAAATTACGAACATTTTTAAAGAAAAGATTCAGGTAACACTTTATAATAACTACACCTTATTTAGCCTTAATAAAGCATGAACAAAGACTTAATTAATAATGATTCACGCTTAGTAACTACTTAACTACTACCTGAATTAGCACTTGCACTTAATTTGCTTGTGCTGTAAATAGTTACTCATAATTATTTCATACTTAATTACTCATGAACTAACCATTTGAGCATTTATTAATGATTAGTAAGATATGAGAGAATGATTTACTAATAATGTAATGCAATGATCATTCAGGCAGCTGTTATCTGTTAGTTAAGTCTTTTTGAGAGCTTTTCTAAAGTGAAGACTAATTATCCTTTATTAAACATTTACAAAGCGTGAATCATTATTAATTAAGTCTTTATTCATGCTTTATTAAGGCTAAATAAGGTGTAGTTATTATAAAGTGTTACCAAGATTCATGAATGAGGCCCATTTTATTCATGTATTTATCGACTGTTTTACCTTTAATCGTCCAAATTCACAGGCGAGGTCCAGAGGGGTCTTCTTGGCCTTGTTGCGCAGACACGGGTTGGACTGGTGCTGCAGTAACATCTCCGACTGAAAAAGAGAAAGCCCAGTGTAAGTGATCCCTCCTGTCATCTAGAACACAGCGACGCTACTGGGTGCAGTCTTTGAACACACAGAGGAACAGGAGAGCCCTGGGGTGGCCTGGCCTGCATTTAGACTCACCACTATTATCACTATTATCCTCACTGTGGGCTCCAAGTGTAAAGGGCCCATTTTACACAGTTTTCTGATCTGTTAGAACGCTCTTTCCTCATCACGAACATATCTGGAGTTGTTTTTAAACACCTTCACTAGAATCATTTGGATAGTTCCAGCTCTGGAATTGTCAATCTCTACTGAACTAAACTTGAAAACTACAACTACATGACATCACAAGGTGGAACAGAGCATCTGGAGCTTTGGAGATGTAGACAAACTAATAATAGAGAGTTACTCAAATGTGTGAATAAAACAAAACACAACTCCGGGTCTGTTTCTGAGGAGGTAACAGTATAACGTGAATTAAAGTTCTCAAGAATGGTCAGTTTTGTGTAAAGGTTCACAGCTGAACATTTCTGGTTGCTTTGTTTTGAATGGTCCACAGTTTGGTGCTGAACATGACTACTGAGCATTTTTTGGATGTGCTGTAATTGCTCAAAATAAAGTATTGTATTTTTTAAAATGATTATTTACATATATTTTAATGTTTATTTATTTCAATGCCAATACCATGTTCAGGTATTTCTTAACAAAATCCAGAAAGTATTTACAGATCTGACCTGTAAATTGGCTTAGTGTGGCTGGAGATAGATAAGTTTAATGACTGATATTCTGATAATGCAATACCTGAGAGCTGTTCATACTGTGCCAACGAATGCAAAGCTGAAACAAGAGTCTCATGCATTTCACCTCATGTCTGCAGAGGTCTAAAATATAGAATAAGATCCTATGAAGACACAAGTTACAGGTCAGATCTGTGGAAAGGCGACCTTGCTCACAGTAAAGGTTGAATTATGATTTTGCGTCAACTCAACACACTCAACACACTTGATTTATGGATCTGTGTCGAGGTCTGTGGGCCACAAAGTAATTCACCGCCACAGCACTAGGAGTTTACAAAATGAAGTGGGAAAGCAGAGTACTGGAAATGCTGGAAGAGCGATGGTAGAGAGGACCAATCACAGCCCTTATTATCTGTGTCACTTTTTCTGCAGTCTGCATCATTTCAACGAGTAGTTAGAACAGGAGTGTCAAACTCATTTTGGTCCGGGGGCCGTATCCTACCGACTTTGATCCCAAAGGGGCCGGATCAGAAAACTCATGTCATATTAACCCCAAAAATAACAATAAGTTCAAATATTTGTGCAGGGAAACACAAATCTATTACAGAAATCGTTTTTAATTGATTAACTCTTTCTTTTACAAAATATTATAATATTATGAACAACCTGAAACTTTAAGAAAAATTTTAGATCAACACAATGTTTTAAAATGAACTTGTATGTAAATAGGAATAAGTCAATTTTTCTTGGAAAATCCTGCACTCGGCTCCACTTTTCACATTTGTGACATTTTGTTACGTCACGGTCAACAGTCAAAATGTTTGGAAAGAGACAAGTCTTCATTTGTGCTGCTCTGGTGGGAGGGGCCACGTACAGAGGCACTGGAAACGCTGCTCTGATAAACACCGCAGAAAATTACCAAGATTTTAACAGAAAATATAATTAAGATATTTTAGTAGAAAATCAGCCAAGGGCCAGATTAAAGGTCTTGGAGGGCCGGATCTGGCCCCCAGGCCGTATGTTTGACACCCCTGAGTTAGAACATTTCGGAGGTGCACATTACGACACAGACTATTTGTATTGTGAAGCAGATGATTTGATGCACAAGGTTGTTTTTTTTTAGGTAATAATGATTTCATTCCTGAGCAAAAGGAGCTGTTCACTTAAAAATACTGCTTCATGATATCACAAAGTGGAATACAGCTTTTTCATTTTTGGAGATGTAGGTAAACTAATAATAAAGTGTTACTCAAACTTTGAATGAAACAAAACACAACTCCAGCTCTGTTTTTGAGGAGGTAATAACATTAAAAAAGAATAATGAATCTATGAAAAAAAACAAGCTCTGTAAAGCGTCTTTGTGACATATGTCTGTGAAAAGCGTTATATAAATAAAGACTTGCGTACTTATAGCACGGCGAAAGACTCAGTGGTACATTTAGCACATTATAGGACCTTTAAATTACCAGATACACTTTGCAGTTTGCAAATGACAACAGATTGTGTCTGCGACTCATTCTGCGGTGGAGCATTTGGTTACATGATCCGCTCTGCTGTAGGAGGCTCCATTAGACATTCCAATAGTGAGACGACGGACGGGAATGTGTGTCTATTTAACAGCAGACAATACCAGGCGGTGCACAGAGGTGTGTGTTTCAGCGCTGGGGCCCGGGGTGTGTGTGTTTGTGTCAGTGTTGGGGCCTGGTGTATGTGTGCATCAGTGCCGGGGGCCTGGGGGCAGCGCTGGAGTCCGGGGTGTGTGTGTGCGTCAGCACTGAGGCCCGGGGTGTGTGTGTTTGTGCCAGCGCTGGGGCCTGGGGTGTGTGTTTGTGCCAGGGCTGGGGCCTGGGGTGTGTGTTTGTGCCAGGGCTGGGGCCCGGGGTGTGTGTTTGTGCCAGGGCTGGGGCCCGGGGTGTGTGTTTGTGTCAGCGCTGGGGCCCGGGGTGTGTGTGTTTCAGCACTGGGGCCCGAGGTGTGTGTCTATCAGTGCCGGGGCCCAGAGGTGTATGGGTGTGGGTGTGTGTTTCAGCGCTGGGGCCCGGGGTGTGTGTGTGTTTTTGCCAGCGCTGGGGTCCGGGGTGTGTGTGTGTTTGTGTCAGCGCTGGGGCCCAGGGTGTGTGTGTGTGTGTATCAGCGCTGGAGCCTGGGGTGTGTGTTTGTGTTAGTGCCGGGGCCCGAGGTGTGTGTGTGTTTCAGCGCCGGGACCCGGGGTGTGTGTCTGTTTCAGCGCCGGGCCCTGTGGTGTGTGTGTGTTTCAGCGCTGGGGCCCGGGGTGTGTGTGTGTTTGTGCCAGCGCTGGGGTCCGGGGTGTGTGTGTGTGTTTGTGCCAGCGCTGGGGTCCGGGGTGTGTGTGTGTGTTTGTGTCAGCGCTGGGGCCCGAGGTGTGTGTGTGTTTGTATCAGCGCTGGAGCCTGGAGTGTGTGTTTGTGTCAGCGCCGGGACCCGGGGTGTGTGTATGTGTGTTTCAGCGCCGGGACCCGGGGTGTGTGTGTGTTTCAGCGCCGGGGCCCGTGGTGTGTGTGTGTTTCAGCGTCGGGGCCCGGGGTGTGTGTGTGTGTGTGTGTGTGTAGGTACCCACCACCTCGTAGTGTCCGTACTGTGCAGACAGGTGTAAGGGGATCTGTCCGTCCAGGGAGGGGGAGTTGACTGAGGCGCCCGAGCGCAGGAGCAGGAGCACAGAGTCGGCTTTACCCTGCCAGGCGGCGTAGTGCAGAGGACGCATGCCTGAGAGAAGACACACTGGTTATTACAGAAGTGTGTTCTGTTCAGGTAAAGGAAGTGTATGCTGTCTGTGTGAGGAAGTGACTGAGGGAGTGTGACGTCACCCACAGCGCTCAACTCCAGTCCACAGGTCAGCAGTTACAGGGGTAAACTTGGAGCCGAGTTACATATTAGAAATAGGAATTTATGGATACAATAGCAGAATAAAAGCCCCAGGATCATGTAGAGTGGGTTATAAGAACATTTGAAGACCAAAATGATGAGTCGGACAGCTGCAGTTACAGAGAGAGGAGACACATGTTTAAATACAAAGTGAATTAGAGCCAGAGTCGATGGAGCCACAAGCCCAGTAACTTTATTATTTGGAAAATGGAGGGTAGCCAGCACGGGTTAAATATGTCCATTTATATAAAGTATATACAGTCTATGGTGCAAACTAACAATTACATTTTTCTAGAGACTAAAATGCTCTATAATAAGATGTAGCCGACGTAGCCTCATTTCAACCTAAAACCTCTAAAACCTTTCTTTTTTTTAACATTTAATGGAAATATCTGTATCCCACACTACTGTTTGAAACTGTACTACAATCACAAGTGACCCTGTTTCACCAGAGCCTTCACCTGCACATATTGGTCTCAGAGAAGTGTGTCTCATTCTCAGTTTATGTTCCGGCCTCAGGCCTAACCTGCTAGAACCTCCAGAAGTCCCTCCCTGAGCTGCAGAGGCTGCACTAGCACTGACTCATGATGCTGCAGGTGCTGGAGTTTAGGGAGGGACTGTTCAGATCAGAGAGAAACATTTTAGGTTTAAACACACTGGATTTCAGCTTTGAAACTGGCAACACAAATGAGACACTCATGTGAAGCTCATTCTGTTTGTGACTGGGAAATCAGTCTTGTGGCAAATGTTCCCTTCAGGAGGCAACATAACGCAACAAACTTACCAATATATATATATATATATATATATATATATATATATATATATATATATATATATATATATATATATATATATATAATTAAATCCCTCTTTACTTACAAATTTTTTAAAGCCACTATCTGAGTAACAAGAGCCACGTGTTTCCACAATTATTAGCACTGATGTGATGTAAACTGTCATTTGTCCACATTAATAATCAATAATGGCTTCTGGAGGGAAGCCAAATCATGTCAATCATCTTTTTGCTGCAGCTGCTCAAAGAAACTCAACTTTCCAGCGCTTCAGTGAGGCCCTTGCCAAATGTAAAAACAGTCTTAACCCTCTCAGGCTCACATTAATTTTTAGTATCAGGAAAAATCTGATATTTGGGGAAAATTATAATATGGGGTAGTAATACACAATCCTGACTTTTTTATCCTTTGTAAAAAAAAAAAAGTATTTTGCACTTCTGGCAGGCCGTTTGAGTGGAGCCATTCTTGCACAGTCTGCATCGTCCACGTTTATCAGCATGGATGGGAGAAAAGGCTCCTGAGTTAAAAAAGCTCATAAAATATAGATGTGGAGTAAGTAGGTAATTGGCATTTAGCTGTTGCAAATCTGCAACGCCTGCCTGGAGAGGGTTAAACCAAAACAACTAATTATAATCTAAACAACTTGTCCATCATGTCCAATATATTTCTCATTAAGAATAAATCTGAATCTGTTTTCGTTGTCAACATACTCTCGATTGAAACTAAACAGAATTATTTTACAAACTTGACTCTGGCCCCAGTTCACTTTCTACTGAAAAAAAAACAAACAAGTCATCTCTTTGTCTCTGCTGCAAGTGATGGTCAGACTCCTCATTTTGTTTTTTAAATGTTCATACTAACCCACTCGACATGACCCTAGGGTTTTTATTTCTCTATTTTATTCCAAAATAAAGACATGCCTGAGGTCGCTCCTGTTTGGTTTAGTAACGGGTTTGATTGACAGCGTTATGAAGCGTGTGCTCCCTAAACCAGCGGCGCAGGTGGGAATGAGCGTTACCTTCAACAACCTCACTCCTGATTGGCTCTTTGGTTGCTACGATACTCAAGGTCAGAATTCCAAATATGGCTCCAAATTGGCTTCTTTCCCTGGCAGCCTTAACAAGCTTCATTTGAGTGGAGTTAAACACTGCGGGTGACGTCACACTCACTTTGTCCACTTCTTTGGTCAGTCTGTGATTAAAAAGCTAAACTGGTGGCAAAAATGAACCCAAACGCATTACAAAGAGACGTCTTCATTAGCAGCTCTTCGTCGTCTAACTGCGGCGGGGCTCATTAGCTGCAGGTGAAGTGGGGACACAAACCTGCTCCTGGCGACAGCTTTCTTAAACATGCTCTCACACATACTGTTTTTGTGTCAGAGACGGAGATGGTTCATTATAACGGAGCTGATTTAAGTTCACAGACAGCACGCCCATTGTTCCTCACACATGCAGGTGCAGCCCGAGGGAGCAGGGAGCAGAAAAACACCTGATCTGCCTCATTTCACTCGTACTGTCACAATCCATCCGAGTGTGAGCTAATGAGGCCTCGACGGGAGTTCAGCCGGGGTCACGACACACATTAATACTGATCATGTAATGCTAATTATATGATGCATTATCCACATCGTTTCTACTTGACAGCTGATGTATTAACATTCCCCGGGGGTGTGGGGATGAGTGGAGGCACTGCTCTTTCTGAGGCTCTACTACTTAGAAGTACATCTGACTTTAAAGGTTGTATGGAGGATTTTTTTTGTTTCAAATTGTCAATGACAGCATTATAGAGGTGCAGTAGCCTTGTAATTATGATGACCAAAAAAAAGAGAATAAAAATTCATCAACTCTGGACGTGGTGGGGCTAAACATTTGCCAATAGATAACGACACTGCCTCGTTATCTGTGAGCTGATAGGCTGTCAATCAAACTCCCTACGTTTCTAGTGTAACTGACCTGCCTGCGCGCTGTCGTTACGTGGTTTACGTACGACTGTCACGCAGTCCACAGACACAAGATGCACAGACGCTGTTTACTCCACCAACACAACAGTTCTTAGCGGATTTTTTGACCTGTATCTTCCTCGCACTTAGCACAAAGTTTGTTGCAATGGCGACAAGAATCCAGGAGCAGTTCGCCGCAAAAGAAAGTCCGTTTTTGAGGTCGCTGAAAGAAGAAGACAAGGGGAAAAGCAGCGAAGTCAAACTAAGGTGATTCTTGGAGATTCATTCCAGCGATGGCGCGACTGAAGCAGACGCAGGGTCTAAAGACTGACGCACTGGTCGCCAAATTACTTCTGGACAGGAAACTTCTGCTTATTATAAAAACATACTTTATTTCCAAGAGCTAGACAAACGTTTTTCAGGACACAAATGCGATATCCTATGTCTGAAAACGCAATTTTCAATGCAAAGAAAGAGTCCGCTTACTTGTTGTAGCTAGTTCATTCGCAAGGCATCTCCGCGCACCCTTCTCTGCACCGCTCCCCTCTCCTCTCCCCGCTTCCCGTTTCGTTCTTCCCGCTGCTCCTCACTTCTTCTACGTGCACGTAATCTCCGTGCACCCCCTCCCCCCGCTCCTCACTTCTCCACCTTGCCTAACCAACACTGTAGTTAGTTGTTTACAAGTCATGTGCAGCGATGAGAACTTGTTTTCTAGAAACTTGTTTTGTAGTTTCTGGCGTAAGGAGGAGGCGGGGGGAGGCGTTTCTCCGTAGGGAGCTGTGTGTGGGGGGGGGTCACGCATGCGCAACATTTGAAAAACGACAAACCGTCACTGGATTTCTCATTCCTTGGAAAATCCTCTATACAACCTTTAACTTGATGGGGTTTTTTTTTTAAAGAGCTGATTTAACTGGAACTACAACAGGTCATCTGATTTATGCTGTTCAACAAGTTCCTCTCAAATAACATTACACTCACAAGTTTGACCTTTTTGTTGTAAATCTAACTCCTAAACAAGACCACAAACTCTGACTGATCACAGGCTCCTGAAAATGCGATGTTTTAATCCACTTTGTATTTTTTTATTGAGCTTTCAGACTTTTTAAAAACTGTTTAGTAACAAGCCCAATCAGAGATATCAACCTGGTCCCATGAGGCGTCGGTGGGTCAGTTCATCACCACAGAAGCAGTTTATGAGGAGCTCAGCCCATATGACATGATCATTATATCCACAATGTAATGTGTGTATGTGTACAGGCCCATGAACATTAGTGTGATGTTGGTCACACATGAGAATGTCTGTGTTTACTTGTGTGGAACCAAAATGTCATTGACATTTTCATGATTATTTATGTTTTGATTTGTTTTTATTATGATTTTAATGTATTTCTTATTCTGTAAAGCACTTTGAATTACTTTGTGTACGAATTGTGCTATACAAATAAACTTGCCTTGCCTTGCCATTGTTCATGAGTTGTGTGTATGTTAGTTGTGTGACTGTAGATCAGTGTTTGTGTATCACCAGAAAAACAACAAATGGAAATGATTTTGGTTCCAATTAGAATTTTAACGGCTACACTGAAAGAGAAAGAACTGTTATAATTAGTGATCATCTGGAAAACTATGAATATTTGACTCTACAAATTAGGGCTGGGTATCATTATGAAGTTGCCGATACGATACAAACCTCGATACATAGGCCACGATATGATACATATCTCGATACAGTGAGCTTTCAATTCAGTATGATATATTTCAAATCGATTCAATACAGTTCAATAAAAATAAAGACTAAATCATGTCTGCGATAAATAAAAGTTAAACCAATTTTTGTGCAAAGTTCATATGAAACACAAATATTTTATTCATCAAAACAGTGAAAATGACAAATGTGTCGCATAAAAAAGTTTCCTTCCTCTAAACAAGCAAGAAAACTGTAGCTCTGTAACAAAATAATTTAGTAAAATATACCAAAAAGTACTCTTGGTGATATATCGATACAGCAGCCCACTATATCGATACTGTATCATCACATTAAGCAATACGATATATTGATATTTCAATATTTTTGCACACCCCTAATACAAATGCATAGAATTATAAATACA